ACTTGTAGTTCTGGTCCTCCATTTGGACCAGATGATCTTCAAAGAACTTTCCAATCTAGATGATTCTGTGATTCTGTGATTCAGAACAGTTACAGCAGAGTTGCTAAGACTGATCAGATGCATAAACAATTTACATATATTCTAGTTAGTCTGTTACTTAAGACTCAGATGGGACAAGAATATATGCAAATATGAAGACTTCTAAATTATTAACCTTATTCAAGAGGTTATACAGAACTATTATTCTCCATTTCCCAGAGTTACAGAGTAAGATGGCATCCAATGAAATGAGCATCATTGGGTTTAAGAAACAAGCAGAAGTACCACTATTTCACAGAGTGTGTAATAATGCTCTTAAACTCAGTAACACAGAACATACTGAAAACTAGAAAACCAGACAGCTTTGTAATTCACTTAGATAATTAATTAGTTTTAACAGCTTTCAGGTGCCAACGATATGGGTGAAACCTCTAGTTCAGTGACTGTCAACGCCCTTGACAACTAAAATTCTTGGTGCATTTGGGTACGTATTTTCCTTAATTTTTAAATTATGAAAAGGTCCTTATGAAATTACATGAACAGATAAAAATACATTCATAATTTCATTATTTGCTTGCTTTTTCAATTGTAGAATTTTTTGTTCACATTTAGAATCACCCATCACTCTCAAAACTTTCTTCTTAATGAAAACTGAGTCTGATAATAATTCAACTCCAAGAGCTCAAATTGTAAAGTACAAGTTTTCTGAGCCCGTAAAGCAACACAAGTATGACAAACAATCCTAGGCATGGGCCATACTGTTCTTGTCCGCTCCTCAGAAAGTTTTGAGCTACTCAGTGTAATCACATTTTCTTAGTAATAATATGAATGCTACTTTCATCTACGTAGTCAGAAACTGAAAAGTTGTCCCAGAGCAGTTCATATGGTAAAGTCAGAAATGAAGTTTTCCTGTGATGGAACAGTAATCAGTAGATGGCTAAAGACTGAATTCCCCTGATGTATTCCAAGGAAGAATTATTCCTTCAGGATAAAAACAGCCCCCAATACTATCACCAACTCCTACTGTCCACTGAACAAAAGCAGAGAAATTAACCCAATTTTTATATTTGTTATTTGTAGCCTCAGGGAAACACAATTTAATAAGCCCTTTACATTCTTTGTGCATTCTGATTCTTTATGAGAAGTCTTTCTTCTGTTCTTGGCCTGGTTTTACTCTGAAATTTGTGATGATTCCTTTTATTGTTGTTAATAAACTAACAGTGGCTGTTTCATGAAGGAAATGTGGAAAAATGTGGTTTTTTCCTTCCACCCACCTTCATCACACTAAAAGAAAACACTGCACAAGCACTTTATGTCAAATGGGATATTTCTGTATGTTCAAGTATCCCTTTGAAATATTGCAGAGAAATGTCGGTGTTAGACATACGTAGTTTTAATATCAATCAGTAATTTACAACTATATTAAGGACGTAAATGGGGACATGATGAGACCCTTTACACCTATAAAATGGCAATACTTTCCCAAATCATAGAAATCTACAGAGAAAAAGGTAGTTGAGAAGAGGCATATATCAAGGAATTTATCTAATGAAATTGAAGAAATCAGCAGGCACTGAAAAGCAGAGGGCTTTCAAGGCAGAGAATACATTTCTGTGATCTAGAAACTGGATGTTAGGGCGGAAAACATTGCTAATGTGACTCCATAGAAAGATGGCTTTGCTAACTGTGTTTGACTCCAGTTTGCCATGTGGTTGTTGCTCATTCTAGGTATTGTAAATATGAATTTCAGATTTACAGATTGGCATCAAGTCATCAATTGGTGTGAATATACACATTTCTTCCTCAGAAAAATCTAAACTTAGTTCCTACATACCTTGTTTCCTTTTTGGTTTTCTATCTAGTAAAGAGCTTGCAGTTTATCCAGGTGATGGTTACATGATCAGTTCTAACTATGCTACTTTAGGTTATGCTTGTTTCTTAATTTTTTTTAAGGAACAGCCAGCACTCTTTAACCCTTTGTTCCATTAAGGTAAGACCATGGGAGACCGACTTGTTAGAATCTCAGTTGAAAATTAACAAAATATTACTGAAATTAAAAACCCAGCCATTTCCACATAGCATGTCTTTCCACTGCTTTTGCTATTTGCATGTCATAAACAACTCTAGACACACCACAGCTTTGATGTTGCTGGTTTTTATTTATATATTGTTTCCCTATCTCAGTAGAGCAGCTACAGCTTGTTATGAATATACAGTGGATGACTTATTCTGCATATTGTGTCAGCAGCTTTAGATTCAGTGAAAAAAAAAAATAATTCACTGGGTTAGTTTATAATTTTCTTCCATCAGTTTTTGCTTTCCTTAGTCATTACCTCTGGAATGTTTGTATAATGCTTTAATTTGCCAAGTTTATTTTTTCTAGACTGAATTTTCTGCCACTTCATCTAGTAAAAAAAAAAAATTGTTGGTATAAACTTGCAGCTGCCTGGTTTTATTCTTTATGCTACTAATTCTCTAATTCTTTATATAAAAGATTATTTTATTTTTTTTTTTTAGAATTTCAGTAAGGAATTCCTCATTTGCTTTAATGCTTTAAGGAAGAAATAGCTTCAAGGAACTGAAGCTAGAATTTAGCTGATTACTTATTATTCATTCTTATTTCAGATGAGTGTTTTGATTGCAACTATTGCAATGCTTTCTAGTTAACAGGTCCAAAAGTTATCCAGTTTAAAAGGCTGAAGACATTCTGAACAGCAACAGCTAGAGAATGATTTAGATGTACAGGCCTTCAAAAGTTAGATTGAACCAAAGAACTGGTTTGAACCTTAATTATTCTTGAATCAACATTGAAAAAGAAAAGTGTGTTTCTGGCTACTGATTCACAGTAACAGTGGGGAAAAAAAGTGTAATTCAGAGGGGCTGTTGGAAGACTTTTCATTAAATAAGATGGATAATGAATCCAGTAGTAGGAGAAGTAATCCTAAAGTCATCAGAACAATTACATATGGATAGGAGAAAAGTAATTTGTTCATTAAGAGTGAAATCATAAGAAATTCTACGAAGTTTGTAGAATTTTCACAAAAATCCACAATAATGTCAAGATAATTTAGAAACACAAATGTTTCTGAGATTCCATTAAAAAAATATTTCTTTGTTTTGTCTATTTTCTCTATTTGTATCACACTGCTTTTATTACATAGAAGAAAAAAGCTCCCCTTTAGGGGCTCATGCATCATATCTTGTTTTGCTAACATGTATTTCTTTTTACAATAGCATTAATTTTCTCCTAATTCTTTCTTGTAGTGCTAGTGACTGTTACCTGCATTTCTTTTGTACATAGTTACATTCTTTCTGATGTTTGCTCTTTAGGTAATGATTCTGACGTTGACCTTGACAGGAAGGAAGATGAGCGAGAGAAAACTCCAAAGAGGCCCAGAGTTCAGAAAACAGAGAAAACTCCATCAACTAAGGAGACTGAACAGGTTTCAGGACCTAAAAATACTATTATAAGTGTGGTTTTGACAGCCCATGAAGCCATTCCAGGTAATTGGAATCACCGATTATATAATCAAATTCAGTTTTGTCCATGCTGACACTGTATAAAATAGTCATTGATCTAAGACTGAACTGCTTAGGATATTTATTATCTGAAAAATGTTTAGTAGTATTTGATTATTTTGATACAGAATCTTTGCATCTGGCACCTACATAATTTTAGAACTACCGTTATATTTCTTCATAGGTATGACAGATGCTGGACCTGGGTTATCTCCATTAACATGAGTTTAGTCTGTGAATAGTTTTAAACAACAAAATGAAAAAAACAGTGACCAAAGAACAGGAAGGTATTTTTCCCCTGTAATATATTTATTATAGCTCTTGATTTGTGTGTATATTTATGATAAATGTAAATTTGTTTATGAAAACACAAATAGTATAGATATAAATTAATATTTATGCATGCAAATCATTTGACAGAAGCTGTGTGTACATATATGTTTGAAAATCAAGTATAAAGTTCCTATATAATGATTAAAGTATTCTTCACCTATAAATTTCTATACTGCCTTTTCATCAAAGGACTTTGGAATCATTTCAAACTATTTGTTTTAAAACTAGGCTTACATTTGCCTGTTTATATAAACCGTTCACTCACCTGACTGACAGAATCCCTTTTTAATAGTTTTGTCCATTATTTTCAGCTTTCTAGCTTTATTGTTCCCCTTTTCATTATTCCTAACATTTCTGAATATTTGTTTTGCTTATAGCTCTCAGAACAACTGGAATGTATTTATTTATTTATTTATTTTATTGTTGTGGGTTAGAAGCTAGCTGGATTTTCCATGTTGTTCTTTAATCTCTTTGGATGTTGAGGTTTAAGATATGCTTGGACTTTGCTAAAATGCACTTCTAATTGCAATAGTAGAGGAAGCTGCATGAGCTCACCTATGAATATCCTGTGTGTTTAGGAGGGAAGTATATAACACCTTCACATTCACAGTTTGAGGAACATTGCATAGGGTTTAGGACTGCTAAAATTTGGTCTTCAAATATTGTAAATACAGGGGAGGGTGAAAGAAGACCGATGAGCACTGGCAGTGTGGGAACCTGGCTTCATGGTGATTTGAGATCTGCACCCATTCGTTTCACTAACCACAGGCCCCTTTCTCTCGTGTGACTTAACCCTGGGCTCTTTCCTAGCCGTTGATAAACATTCATTTTCCCACTGTTATGTCCCACCTGTTTTGCCTCTTTCCCACTGCATGTAGCTTCTCCCCTCTGCTGATGCCCATTCCCTCACTGCCACGCCTGAGGCTCCCCTCCCATCCTCTATCCTTCATCTGGGCAAAAGGGAGCGTGTGATGGTTAAGGGGCTCACGTAGGTGTTAGTAAATGGGTTCGTATAGGTGTTAGTTTATGGATTTATACACACAGCCTCCCTTCCTCAGGGGTTTTGGGAAGAGCTGTAGTTCGGGTCTCCTCTCTCCAGGTGTTAAATTTTATGAACCTTGTAAGAGTTTTTGTCTTTGAGATCTTTACATTTCTGTCAAGGGCTAGAAGAATTTTCAAGGACGGAGGAGGAAAGACATGGTACACAATGCAATCAAAGACCCATTTTCTTAGGAAATTAGCATAAAGAGGTGAATACAATAATAGCAAATATGGATAGTGGAAAAAAAAAGTAGTAAGCACATGATATGGGAGAGGAAATTAAAATCTAGAGGAGATTGGTAGCTTGATTGCTACATAGTAAAATTTTTATTTGGACAACAAAAAGTTTGGGTTTTCTTTATACATATGCTTTTTCAGTGACTCATATTGCAACAGCTTCAACTTTGAAGCTATTTCTGTATGGTACGTGTTACATTTAGAAGCTGTAATGAACTGAAGGGATTTACGGTCAACTGTGAATCTGCAGCTGTTTTTCAAGGTCCTCTCATTGGCTTGACAATTAGTAATCTTAGGTTCAAGTTCCAAGCTACACCACGTGTAATAAAAAAGTCATTGCTGTTAGGTCAGCTATGAATTATACTACTTTTCAGCATTTGGAAATTCTAGAAGATATTATGTAAGTGGTTAACTCTTTGAAAATTGAAAAGCAAACCATTTAATTTAATACAGCTATGTTTTAATTTCTTGTTCATTGCTTTTCCTTCCATTTTTTCATTAATTTACATGATCTAACTATATTTTAATGTTGCTAGTAATTCTCTAGGCTATTCCCCTTCCTGAGTAATACTTTAATATCTGGAGTTTTTATAAACATCTTTCATAGTCTTTTATTCCATTTTTCTGGAGATTTATCATGTGCTGAAGAGATGAGTTATTGCTATAGACTGCTATTGAAGAATATAAATAGATAAAACATTTCTCCCTTCTCTCCTGCTTTCTGTATGCTAGATCATCTGTAAAGTTAAGTTGAAAATAAAATTTAAAAGTGCTTAAGCAGTATCAAAACTTAAGTCAACTTTCTTCAAGCATTAGCATTCTGAAGCCATCTGTTATCTAGCTTTATAGTTGCATGAAAATAACCCTTTTTGTGTCCAGTGCAGTAAAATCCCATTGAAGAGGTCAGCATCCTGTCAATTAGAAAAATAGAGAAGGCTTTAATAATTAGTTGTATTTTATCCACAGTGTAGAGGAAATACTCAGATTGTGTCTCTCCCTTCTTAAATGAAGGAGTATTAACAGTTTGCAGTAATTTTGCTATACACTATTTAGAAGGGACACTGCTTTTCAGTAGATTATGACTAAATTGATCTCTTCAGAGTCCCTTCAAACAAATAGATGTTAGTTTTTAACTTCCCATAAAGGACAGTTAGACAAACATTGATTTTTTTTGTCATGTTCTTTTTCTGTAATGTTTATTTTGGATTCATATAAAAGGTAATAAATAGATTTACAGCTTTAGACATTTGAAAGCTTGCATTAACCCACAGAATAAACATAGTTTGAATAAAAGTGGGAAATGGTTTTCTGTGCATGCATTGAAGTACCTTGACAGGCTGGAGAGGTGGGCCCATGTGATTGTCAGGAAGTTCAACAAGGCCAATTGCAAGGTCCTGCACGTGGGTTAGGGCAATCCCAAGCACAAATACAGGCTGAGCGATGAGTGGATTGAGAGCAGCCCTGCGGAGAAGGATTTGGGGGTACTAGTAGATGAAAAACTAAATAAGAGCCAGCGGTGTGCACTCACAGCCCAAGAAGCCAACCATGTCATGGGCTGCATCAAGAGAAGTGTGACCAGCAGGCTGAGGGAGGGGATTTTCCTCCTCTTGAGAGACCCCACCTGCAGTGCTGTGTCCAGCTCTGGGGTCCCAACATAAGGACATGAACCTGTTGGAGTGGGTCCAGAGGAGGCCATGAAGATGTTAAGACTGCTGGAGCACCTCCCTGTGAGGACAGGCTGAGAGAGCTGGGTTTGTTCAGCCTGGAGAAGAGAAGGCTCCAGGGAGACTTTAGAGTGGCCTCCCAGTGCTTAAAGTGGCCCCAGGAAAGCTGGGGAGGGGCTCTGCCTCAGGGAGTGTAGGGATAGGAGAAAGGGTAACGGTTTTAAACTGGAAGAGGGTAGACTTAGATTATATATAAGGAAAAAATTCTTTACTGTGAGAGTGGTGAGGCCCTGGCACAGGTGGAAGGTGTCCCTACCCATGGCAGGGGGTTGGGACTAGATAATGTTTAAGGTCCCTTCCAACCCAGACTGTCTTACGATTCTATAACCGAAGGGAGCCAAAGACCTTGAATAGAGGGAGTGCTGTGTTAAAGAACACACTCACCTGGTATCAGATTAAACATAGTACAGCTTTTGATAAGCATCGAAATTAAGAATGAGAGTGAATAACTGCAGTTATATGCACATCTAAAAATACTTTGTTTTGAATGGCAGGGCAGATGCTTTTGTTCATAGTCTGGTTCTAAGTACCACTGAATAAACGCTGACAAATTCTCAGTCTTCTTGTTTTTTATGTATTTTATTTCCTATGCTTAAATTCTGTAATATTATCAGGCTTCTAAAAACAATTTATTATTGTCAAGTAGTTTGATTCAGGAGAGATTCTACTTTGAACATTTAAATTGTTGTTTTATGTGAGTCCTGTAATTAATTTTAAAGAGCTGGTTACTTAAGTTCCTGTGAGGATGGTCAATGATAGAATTATTAGGTTTTTTGGTAGAGCACAAGACATACAAAAATGGTCTAAAGTGTTTAAATTATTGATGCTAGTTATTTTTTGATTTCTAAAGGAACTGAATTTTTTATCCTACAAATTTTTAATACAACACTGTGCAGGTTTTTCTGTCCCCGATTTCCTCTGAGGAACCACTATCTGTAAAAGGCCAGCTATGTTCTCTTGCTACTATATCCTGTGCTGTAATTTATAAACAGTTGGTTCATCCTCCCATCGAGACTTTTTGGGAAGCAGGAGGAAGTGGAAGAATGACATTTTGCTTACTATTTTGGGACTGACTTAGTTTAACTGATGACAGTCTTTTCCGTTAAACTGATAACAGTCTTTTCTGTTTAAGATGACTTCTTATTTGTAGCTCACAGAGCAGTGGTTGTGGGTTTATGACACATCTGAATGGATTTTATATCAGACTGTTGCCAGGGGAGCTTTCCTGCTTGTCTCTTATTTCCCAGTTCCCTTCCCATTTCTTGCACCGGCACTAGTGCTTGTGTCAGCCTGCAGTGAACTGATTCAGAAAACATGCACATACGCACACACATTCACATTTTCTCTGTCAGAGAAAATTTTTTCTACCAGTTTTGCTTACTGAAATGTGTCACATTGGGGCCACACAAGTTTCAAAAGTGGGAAGAGGGAAAGTGGTGACAAAATGAGTCTGTCAGGGAAAAGGAGAATTGGGATTACCCCTTTTTAAAATAGCTGGATCAGTAAGGATAGACTGCTGTCACAGCAGCAGTGCTGTCCTCCTGCCCCAGCCCCTGGCCACACATTCCTGTCCTTTGGATCACTGTGCCTGTTTAGGCAGTTGTGTGGTAAAACACATGAGAAAACTGATTTTGTGTTTGCAGAAGGATGACATAGTGCAGATTTTAGCCTGATCCCTTCTTTTATCTTTGTAAACTTCTGTGATGGCACTTTAAGGCATCAGGAACATGTAGTTGAGTGGAGGGCTAGAGAAAAGAAGCTAACCTTATATTGATTTAAAGCAAATGTGGAATTAAATGAGGTTAGGAAAATTAAAGCTTTCCCCTCTGAATGTGAGCAAGTATCTATATTACCATGGGGTTACAGATTGATTTAGCTCAGCCGATCTAATGCCCAGCTCTGCTGAAAGGGATCATAATCTTCATCCCACTATACACAGGTCTGTGCTTCTGTTTGTTTGTTCGAGTTAATTGTGTTTAACTTCATGGTGAGCCAACCTCTTAAAAGGTTCCTTTGGGATGTTTTAAGCTTTATTTTGGGGGTGAGAGGTAGGTTTGTATGGGGAATGTTGGTTGCTGTGGGTAGAGTTAGTTTCTGTTGGTTTCACTGTCAGATCTGTTTTACCAGGGATCATATGCATTTGGAGCACATTCCATAGGATATTGTAAAAGCTGAAAAAGTACATTCCTTCAGAAGGAGATTGTAAGGAACAAGTACTCACTACATACCCTTAGCAAATCACTTCATCTGTACAGACCAGGGTACCTACATTATGAAGGGGTTTTTTTTAAACCTAAACTTAAGCTACAGTGCTTTGCTTTTTTTTTAAAGGTTCATCTAGTCAGATCAGTTGTCTCTAAAGGCAGCTTGCAGCATCTCTATAGGAAGGAGATAAGAAACTTATTATGTAAAGCCTTCTGGATTCTGATAGCCATTCAGCTAGTAGTTGCATCTGGATCATCATATTTGATACGTATCTATTAATTTGTCTAAGTCCCTTCTTGAATACATTTATATTTTTAGTCTCTGTAAAGTTGTGCAATAACTGTTCCATAATTTAATTATACACAGGGTGAAAGTGTACATTCTTTCGTATTTTTTTAAGCTTGCTGACTGCTTATTTATTTGAACTGCTCTGTGTTTGTGGTTTATGAGCTAGAGAATGATTATTCACAGTTTTTTCACAGTATTGCTAATTTTAGAGGTTTTTCTGACATTCCTCTTTCACTTACCTCTCTTCCAAGCTAAAGGTCTCTGAGATATGTATCCCTTTTCCTAACAAAATACTTCTGATTTGTCCTTGTTTATTCCCTGGTTCTTCTGTATCCTTTCTGTTGTCCATACTTGAAATTGTAGGAGGTTTCACGGAATTCAGTTGGGTTTTACTTTGGTTGATGATGTCTCCTGTTTTATTTCTGTTCCATTCTTAATAATTCCTTCCATTGCGTTTACCTTTTAGACTGTTGATAAGTATTGGAGAGCTTTATAGTGAAGGGCAAGCTACTCTTCTATGGGCCAGACTGTAAGAGATTAGAGGCCATCACTGAGTTTGAGCCAGAGATAAGGCATGCTGGGTAATGCTTATCTGTAGAAGTTGCTGTCATGAGGAACTCAAATCTTATTACTCTTAAAGCAGATTTACTTAGAACAGATGATACTGACTGAAAAGAGGAAAGCAAAAGGCATAAATAAAGTCTAGTAAACTGAAGTCTATTCTGCATTTAAAATAGATAATAGTGCTGGAGGAAGGATTTTTGTGAAAGAAATAATAAGTACAGTTAACATCCTGTCTCTTA